GATCAGAGTATGATTGGTTAACATGTGCAGGACTTTGAATTCGAAAGTTACCCCCAGTTGTCGGTTGTGATTGGAATAGTAAAGTAGTTTCTCTCATCTTTAGAGTGATGCTTTCCCCAAACACACTTGCCCCAGGGTTCTGTGGACGTGTGGTGCTGTTGTGGTCAGAAGTGTGTGATTTAATAACACGCTGGATGTAGAGTGGCACCTCTCCCTGGATCAGCAGAGCATAACTGTGTGGGATAGAAACAGACCCCAGCCACGTTCAGGCCCCACATCTCACTGACACCAAACATTTGTCCACAGTCAGAGACCAAAGCTCGGTTCACTCACTTCACCGGGCTTTTGGTTCAGAATGAAGTAATGTATAGTGAGAAAATAATGTGGTTACTATGGTGAAACAGAACGGTCAAGTGGTTTAGACAAAGCCTTTGAAACGGTATTGATAGGAAAAACAAAGATTGCAGCCTCCAGGCTTGTCCTTGTTTTGTTTTGATACAAATTGCCGTGATTTGGCACGATATGTGTAGTTCACGTCTCAAGGTCCTGTTCTGAAGATCCACAGTACTCACTTTTGGTCAGGGTTTGAGAGAGGTTTTATAGGTTGACCCGACCTGCCTCCCTTTACAACTCTCTATTGAAAAATGAAACGTTTCTTCCATGAGAGACACATTTGAATGACCGTATTTCAAGAGTTTTTCATCCATTTTGTGTAAACCTTTCACAAAAAGGGATGAAAAAAGTTCATAATAACAGAAAGCTTATACAGCAGAGTGTCTTAGCCCGGAGCAGCAGGCAAAGGTAATCAGTATACACTTCCTATTTGGAGCACACCTTGAGGCCATATGCAGTAAAAACTTCAAATCTGATTTTGTAATCATTGTGTTTACATCTGCTCCTCGTGGTTTTTGTTCACACCAAATGTCTCAGAAGCTGTAAGAGTGTATATGCAGCAGCAGTGAGACCTCTCTCCTTCAATAAACCCTTGAACATGTGATTTTCTCTTCCACAATTCTCTGGGTTCATGGAGAGTCACACACACTAATTACACTCTTCATCATCGGAATCCCTTCAATGATATTAATATTTTATTTATACAAATAAATAAAAAACAGAACTTCAACATTAAAAGCACAAACGTTCCAGAACAATAAACCCCAAATACAATCCCTATAACAACAATAAATGTGTTTGTGTAAGCCCTCAGTCGTACAGGGATTAGTCAAAGCAAAGGAAGGTTTCTCACCCATCATCTGTACTTCTTAGCAAGTTTTCCCGACGTTTCGTCCTCAAACTAGCGGACTTCTTCAGGGAATGAATTCTCGGACCGCGCGTTGGAGATTTATAATCTATGGGTGTGGTTAGCAGACAATAGGTCTGTGACATGCTAAGGAGTTAGGGTCGTTAGCCTCAGCAGGGTCGTTAGATCTGCTCCCTTCTACATCAAGCAGACCTGAGATTGTTTATGAGTTAGTGTCAGGATTTAGGGTGTGGCTAACCACACCCATAGATTATAAATCTCCAACGCGCGGTCCGAGAATTCATTCCCTGAAGAAGTCCGCTAGTTTGAGGACGAAACGTCGGGAAAACTTGCTAAGAAGTACAGATGATGGGTGAGAAACAATAAATGTGGTTGAAAGAAAATCATATGGCTGGAATACTTTTACATATTATTCACATACTTTCACATTCATTCACATACTTTAACATACTTTCACAGACTCTCACAAGGGCTATGGCTGTAAAGGCCTCTGTACTCCTCTGTGGTTCTATGCAAGTAAAAGAAAAAAAGAGGAATGCTATAAAAGATGCAAAGGTCTTAAAGTGAATGAAGGCCCACAATACAATTACAATACAGAGAATAAACACAGACACAACAGACACAACAAGACACAAAACAGAATATAGAACACATGTTGATAAATGTCCATAAATATTGTAGAATGAATGATCATCACCACAGTCCTTCTTGTTACAGACTAACTGTCCAACAGACCCTCCTGTATCGGCAAAGAAAAACTCCAAAACCCTGTGGGAGAAAAGTGAGAAACCTCAAGGAGATCCACAGTAGAGTTTTGCTTTTCAGCACGAGGCCCGACCTGAGTTCGGGCCGGGCTCGGGCCTCATTTTGGCGCTCAGCTGCCGGGTTCGTGCTGGGCTCGGGCTTCTTTTTTTAAAATATATGTTTCTTTTTTATTATTATTATAATTATTTTTAAATGATTTTTATACACAAATGATATGCATATATATATATTAATAACAATGTCCGTTGATTGACAACAAGTTATTAAAAAAAGTCAATATATTAATGACACCATAACCAGCGTGTCCTACAGCAGCAGCGAGCCGTGAACGCATCATCCCCGTGTCTCCTGCTGCATGCTGTGGTCAACAGCGAACAGGAACAATAGTAGAAATGGATCAAGTGGAGACAAAACAAATTCAAAAGTGGAGACTAAACTTGCAATTGGAAGATGAGTGCGTACAACAAGGAAATCAGATGTGTCGGGTTCTGTCGGGTTCGGGCCTGTTATACAGCGTTCATTGGTCGGGCTTATACGGGCTCGGGCTTAACATTAGCGGGCTCGGGCTGGGTCAGGCTTCATTTTTCAGGCACGAACGAAACTCTAATCCACAGTGAGAGAGGGATCCACTCCACACAGACGGGCTGTAGATGCAGGACCTGAGCTACAGAACGTGGACAGGTCCGGTGCTGGACTGAAGAACTCCCAGGCGGGTCGGGCAGGGCAGTCCGCAGGTGTAGATGGAGGGGGCCGGATTCAGAGGTCCCGACGTCGCACCATGAAACAGACCATGGGACAACGGTTGAATAACAAAGAACAGACTACAGTCAAAATCCAAAACCAATCCAAAATACAGTCACCAAACATGTCTCCAGGAGAAAGTACCTTTTTGTTTAACAGGACATTTATAGATTGTTAAAAATACAATACAAGGAATTCCATTTAAACATGCTTCAGCTTGTTTTTGTGACTGCAATGCATCGTGACAGAATCTAAACAAAACAGACACAACATTTTCTAGAGGGAGCATTTGCAACACATTCTTTACTCAAAACCTAAAGGATATAAAATATTAAAGGGCACAACACCTAAACACAGACTTCTCAGTTTTTGGCCATGACATAGTTGTTTCTCTGAGTCATACATTTATGCATGTTTGACTTATGTATATCCTTACATATACTCGCCACCATTGCTCTCCCCTCACGCCTCTAATTACACCGAGCACCTCCCCAGGTTTTACTGACTCTTTTCCAATTTCCTTTTTCTGAATCCGTGATATGTGGAGGATTCACTCATCTTGCACCATTTTTGCTCGAAGGAAAAAACTATAATCGCATCGCAACTCATCACTAGATCCCGGCCCTTTAATATCGCTTCCTTGTACATTTTTTGCCACTTTATAATATCATATCTCTGGACACTTGTTG